AACTCTTCTTAGCCGTCTTAGCCGCCTTTGCTGGCTTGGCTGCCGGTTTAGCTTTAGCCTTGGGAGTAGCTTTCGGCTTCACCGCGGTTTTCGCCTTAGGCTTCACAGGCGTCGCAACTTTTGTTCTCGTTTTCGGTTTCGTCGCGGCTTTAGCTGTCCTCGGCTTCGGTTTTGCAGCAGTGGAGGAAGCAGCTTTAGGCTTCGCGGCGGCTGGCTTCTTAGCTGCGGCGTAGGCCGGAGGGAGCTTGTAAGAGGCCTTGACCTTGACAAGCTTTCCAGAAGCAACAAACTTCTTCATCTGAACAAGTAAAAGCTTCCGAAAGTTCGAGGGCAATTGCTTATGCTTTTCTTCGATGAATTTCGTGATTGCATATTGGCTCGATCCTGTCTTCTCTTTCAACGTAACGATCGCATCCGAAATCATCTGCAGAAAAAGAATCACAGATAATTCGAATCAAAAATCAATTGAAGATCTCAAGAGAAAGAAACCTACGGTTTCTTGAAAGAGATAATCACCTCGAGAAATGGTGGATGTGAACAAGCCGATTTCGGCTTCTTAGCACCGGCACTTTTCTTCTTCGCGACGGGCGCCACGGCGGAATCAGTAGCGGAGGCCATGAGTCAAATAAGCAAGCTAACGAGTTGGAAAAGATTTGAAACTTTGTTACATTGCAGTTACGCGTGAGAGATTTTATAATGGAAATGGTGAAATCTGATTGGTGGACAACCAAATGACGGGGATCGAATGACTAATGCGAAATTTTAAATGTTGGACGTTGGATTCGAATGCTGTCGACGGTTGGGATTGGGAATTTGGATAAGGTGCGGATCGTGGAGGGTGAAAGGGGATGGGTGTGAGGTTGAAGTTTGAGGTTGGAATGAGAGTTGGGGATGTGTTTTTGAGTTGATTTGAAATGCGTGTAAATTGAGTATCGATGAATGGATTTATATGGGGTTTGATTTCACTTTTAAATTAGGATCTGAGGTTTCTAACGAGAGTTTTATTGGAAAATTTGATTAAGAATTTTAAGATAATTTCGAGTTTGAATCCAAAGTGGTCGAAATTAAAATTTTTCAGAGTTTGATGCGATTTTAATAGATTTTGAGATAATTGTGTTTAATGAATTGATGTTTTTAAATCCTACGTGATTGTAGGATTGTAATGGAGTTATTTGGTTCAAGAATTACAAAAATCCGATAGAAAATGAATTTGAGACTATGATTGAAACACAACTTAAGTTGAACATATTTATTAAATGTTATAGTTCATTATATTGAAATCAAATTGATATTATCATTTTAAACAAGCGATTTGATTTAACGATATCAATCAAACATAAATAAGATTCTCAAACTTCAAATTGTTCAAATCTTTAAATAAAAAGTATCACATTGTGAGTATTAAATTGAAACAACAATAACATTATGAATGGAACTCAAATGTACCCCATGAAGAAACACACACCTTTGTTTGAATATGTCCATTTTCTCTTCAAGCAACTTACAACCGTTGAAATCTCTAGTCAACAACATAAAAAATTTTCAGGATATAAATTAAAGGATTAAGTAAAACTTTGGGTTTGCCATGAAATTAAGAAAGGACAGCTAATTGCACAGCATTTTACAAAAGCAAACGCATTTCTTGTCCTTTTTATCATGTGTTCTTGTCAAACTGATCATGAAAGTATCAAGAACTTGGATGAGCAAGTATCCAATCATGCAAAGCTTACACTACCATGAAACCAAAACAAAGATAGCTTTAGAAGTTTACTTGCTTCAACATGCACAAATTGAAAGCAAATTAATTGGTAAGATGAATGGGCAGAGAAAACCAATCAAGTTGTCTTAATTTGCTTCCAAAGACATTATGATGTTTAGATAAAAATGAAAAATCAAAACATTTGACATATATAGTAAGCTTTGAATCAATTTATATTAATCAAAGATGATTTGAGAGAGTATTAGAGTACGATCACTGTTATTAGGTTGAAATGGTCACAGTGCCAAGACTACAAAGGCAATGTTCAAAAATCATTAGCAATGATAGCTCCTTTGAGGATAGCAACATTACATGGAATTTTGGGTGGCAAACATGGTTAAGGTTGCTTATTTCAAACAACTTCAAGCCATTCTAGTTATCTAGTTGGCCTAAAACAAAGGCCAGAATTCATGTTACTCCATCTCATAGCCTGCATATTTTGGTGTATAGGTAGAGCTAGTAGCAAAATTATAGTTTAGCATCTAACAATCAAGCTGCTTCGGAAGAACTTGATCGAAAACTCAAGGGTCTCACCGGATTAAGTATGCTATTAGTAAATCTTGGTATTATATATGTTAAAAATGACATTGATATTTTTTGCGGATAATTTAAACACACGATGGGGTATTGTAAGTGGTAAAATGACTTATTGTCATGATCTACTGAAATTCAATCTTTTATCATTTCATTCGTCAAAACAAAAAAAAATGACACTGGCATATGCATGCCATGGCACATGAAGAATAGCTCCCTTTCTTCAACAATCTCGTGGTGTTCATGAAAATTATCAATCTTTACTTGATAATCAGTTTTTATTGTATTCTCAAAACAAGAAAAAACAAAGAATTACAGTTATTGGGACTAAAACTTAAGAAGAGAATTTTGTTGGCTTAAGCTGAATAGCAGCCATATTTTATGTGTCCTTGTTGCCAAAGGCGCAACTAGGCATATATTTTCAAAAAAAGCTTTTGTATTTATTCAATTAATTAAGTCATTAATTTGTTTTTATTTTTAAATAATTTTAAATTTTTATTTTAAATCGAACAAATCTTTTGATTTAACGAAACTATACTCATCATGAGATTTAAAGTCAACTACTCTATTTTATCGCATTACATATGACCTAATTAATTAATATGATCACAATAAAAATGCCAAGGAAAGAGAGAGACAAAAGGAAAAAGGGATAACTGAAAACAAAATCCTACCATCTATAATTAGATTTAGATTTTGTTTTTTTAAAAAATGAAAAAGGATGAAAAAGAGAGGTTTTTTTGAAAAAATTAAATCAATCAAAAAGCAAAGAGAGGTGTCACGAACCAAACAATAAGGTTTTTTTTTTACGTTTGGTCGGTACCAATAAATTTAAGAGTGTGCAAACGGTTATTTTTTTTAGGTTAGTTCAATTGTGATTATACAAATATTATCTAATTATCAAATTACTAATTATCATTATTTTATATATTTGTTTAACCAAAACAAGCTCATAAATGTATTTAGTCTTATTAAATAGAAGCTATGAATTTATCCATTTTTGTAACAAACTAAAATTACATTTGATATATACTTAATTAATATACTTTATGAGCATTAAGTTAAGCAAAAAATTTATAAAAAAAACATATAGTATCATAAATGGTAAAAACAAAACATTATTGATTATCAATAATGACAGATGAAAAGTTAATGCATTACAAAAAGTTAAAGATAAGGTCCAATGAGACATCAATTTCAAGAAGAAATAAATAATATTGAAGTGTATTTTATAAAGATCTTCTAATTGAATCATGTATATATATAATTTTGATGTCTAAGAAGATTATTAATTTATATATCAATGGGGACTTATGTTTTTTTTAATTGTATTATTTTATAAATTTAGCAAATTATTAATAGTCAAAATACTCACCAAGTCCTTGTACTCATACATTTTGTTCAATTTAATTCTTGTACTCAAAATTAAAGTAATTTAGTCTTTTGATTTTAAGAATTGCTTTAATTTAGTTCCTTATTCTAACCACATTTAATTTTGTTATTAAAAAGATGATGTAAATGCTGATGTCAGCACTGACATGACACATTTTGATGATTTAACACCCACATAATGACGTGGCATGAAACATGGCATTGACGTGATAATGTTGTAGTACCACGTGACATTAATATGATGACATAGTAATATTGATGTGACATTAACATGTCAACATGTCAGTGCCTCGTAGCAGATCAAAAATTTTCAAAAAACTTTTTTTTGCTACGTCATAGTGATTAAATTGAATAAAAATATATAATATAAGGACTAAATTGAGCAAAATTGAGATGTTAAAGGACTAAATTGAAAAAATATTTAAAAAATTCAAACATTTAAGTAGATGATTAATAAGCCAAATATTTAAGTGTAAAAGATTTATGATGCTAAAAAATATATATATATAGTTTCTTACTTGATTATTTGATTATAGAATATGTACATTAATTTATCTTTTTCACAAAAATTAAGTTTGAATTCTCCTTTTATAAAAAATTTCATATCCAAAGTCAAATTTAGATGAATAACTTACATTGTGTTGGAATAAAATAATATAAAAAACTAAATAAATTCTTTTCTTTTATTGATAATAGTACAAAATTTTGAAATTTATTTGAATTAGTTTTTAACTTGAGCAAAACTCAAATTAGCAAAATAGATTAATTTAGTTTTTTTAAAATAATAAAGAAGGGAAATATGGAGTTAACGATGATTATACAATAATTCTTCATTCTAACTTGCTTAATTTAAGTATTACAAATCTCTTATTACAACTATAAAATCTAAGTTACTCCATCTCTTCAATCTTTTATTTATTTTTTATGTTTTTATTTTGTTTAATATTTTAGGTTATATTTTTTAGATTGAAATTTCTTAGATTAAAGATTGCATTTATGGTTGATAGAGTTAAATATAATTGTAAATATTTGAATAATTTTATTTTATATTTATAAATTTTTTGTACATCCAAATTAATAATTTAAATTTAAATTTAACAAAATTTGATTGCGGTATTTGAAGTTAAATAAAATTATTTTATGAGAAATTAGGAATAAATTTAAATAAAAGGTAAATTAGGTAAGGTTTAAATAATTTTAAAAGAATAGGTATTTGTAAATTATGAAAGTTGTAACTAAATCAACCTATTTTGTTAATTTGAGTTCAGCTTAAGTTAAAAATTAAATCAAATAAATTTTAAATTTTTAGACTATTATAAATAGAAGAAAAAAGAATTTATTTAGACATTCTATATTATTTTATTCTAACGTAATGAAAGTTATTCATTTAAATTTGATTTAGGTATAAATTTTTTTCGAAATTTTTTTATAAAAGGAGAATTTAAACTTTATTTTTTTTAAAAAAAATAAATTAATGTACATATTTTAAAATCAAATAATCAAGTAAGAAAATATTTTTATTTATTTGTTAACACCATAAATCTTTTATACTCAAATATTTGACTTATTAATAAATATGTCTATCATCTACTTGAATATTTATATTTTTTAAATATTTTTTAATTTAGTCCCTCAATATCTGAATTTTGTTTAATTTAGTCCTTAAGATGTGGCACAAAAAATTTGTTGAAAATTTTTAATATGCCACGTGACACTGACATGTTAACATATTAATGCCATGTCATCACATCGATGTCACGTTATTAAAATGTGTTACGTCAACAATGATGTCAATGTTGATGTTATCTTTTTAATAGTAAAATTAGATGTCATTAGAGGAATTGACTAATTTGAAGTAATTTCCAAAATCAATGGACTAAATTATTTCGATTTTCAGTACATGGACTAAATTGATCAAAGATAGCGTTTGATATAAGGGAAGTGGAAGCACATTCCTTAGAATGTGTTCAATTAAATTACATTACAGTGTTT